CTTGCAAGAGACATGTGCTGTGGTAACTCAAGGTTTAGTGGATTTTGGGCGTGCAGGGTGTGTCTTTGTTCCTAGAAAAGCTAGGTATTGTCCAAGGTTTATCCCCATGTGATAGGATGAAACAATGTTGCTAAAAGGTTTATCTCAAAGCACAGGATTTTCCTTTAAACTTATTCATGTCACAGAGATCCTTATTCTTATGTCTTACTGCTAATTTCCTCCCTAAAAACGATCCTATTGTCCTGCCACTCCCTTATCTTTAAGATGGTAAAGATAATTATCTATAAATACTAAGGGAACTCAGAGGCCGGTGCCGGCGTGGGTCCTCTGTAAGCTGAGCACCGGTCCCTTGGGTCCCCGCTTTTCTTTCTCTATACTTTGTCTCTGTGTCTTATTTCTTTTCTCAAGTCTCTCGTTCCACCTAAGGAGAAACACCCACAGGTGTGGAGGGGCAGGCCACCCCTTCAATTTCATGTTTATTGGCCTTAGATTGTCACATGGAACCGCCATCAGTTGAGACATGGGGATCCTGTTGAGACATGGGGATCCCTGCGTGAAAAAGACAGGCTTCTTTTTGCTCTAAAACAAATGATTTCTGCCTTCAAATGGCTCCGGAACAGCATCAAGAGGAAGTAAGTGAGGCTCCGTGGGCTCACACCCCAGATCCCGCCCCCGCCAGACTCCAGGGCAACCTTTTCACATTCAGGCGTTCAACCCTGCTTCCTTGCCCCTCCTTGGTCACCTACAAAGCGTTCTCTCCCCTACATGTATGAAGACACAGACCCACCTGTGCAAGAGGTGCCCCTGCCCATAGGAAAGGGAAGTCAAAAGTTACCGTTTTCCTAACAAATTAACCTTTCATTTTATCCAGTAAGAACATCCAGTCAATCTTATTTGGGCCTTAATGTTTCTTTCTATTCCCCACTCCCTCTCAATGAGCAGAAAACTTTAATTTTTTAGCCATGATTCTGGGCCAGGAAGGTACCAACTATTCATAATTACAAGCTTGCAATGAAGGGGAGTGATTACTATCCCCATTTAACAAATAAGGAAACTGAGGCTCAAAGAAGTGAAGTCACTTCCCCAAAGCCATCCTAACTGGTAGAGCTCCAACTTGAACCCAAGCTTCTCTGACTCCAAAACCCCAGGAAGGTTGGCAGCAAGCAAGACCTCCCTCCTCCCCAGGGAACAGCAAAGGAACCGCAATACCACACACAACTGTCCCCAGGAACTTCCTCCTTCTCAGGAGCTGGTCGGCAGACTTCGGCCCGGAATGGCACCCCTATCCCACCTAGCTCCAGAGAGCAGGAACTGGGGAAAACTCCCTCCGCTCCTCCTGGGACTCAACACCCTTCCCAGGAGGCTGCAGGGTCCTGGACCTCCCCAAACTAAACAAAAGGCTCCACGCGAAAAGCCCCGCACATAGTAGGTACTCGGGTTTCCCAAAGCAATCGAGCAAATCGTATTGCTTCCTTCTTTTCCTGTAAAGTAAAAACAACTCCAAGTATCTTCAAAGCAGGAGAAGGAGTGGGGCAGAAGGTCCCAGGGGAAGTGGGTCGGGACGCGAGGCTAAGACAAACCCTGGGTAGCTGGGGAGGGCGCAGCCGCGTGGAGACCGAGGGCGCCAGCGTGCTGCCTGGCTCACAGTAGGAGCCATTCAAACGCGGTGAATGAATGAATGAGACGCGCGGCAGGCGTCAGCGCAGCCGGGAGAGACTCTGGCCGCGCCGACCGCGGGGGCAAGGTCCAAGGAGAAGCGCGGCGCAGAG